GTGGTTTGCACCAGTTGGGGAAGTGGCTCGACCTGCTTGGGCTCTTGTGTGGCCTAAGAGGCTGGAAGTCCACGTACTCAACCCCATCCCATGCTCAGATCCTTGTCCAGGACAGAGGTGGTAGGGCAGGGTGGGGGGGGGCCAAAGGGGCATCAGAACCCCTCATCAGAGTGGACAGCCCAGAACCCCTCCCAGGGAGGCCACAGGAGGTGGGGGCCACATGAAGTCAGAGGCCCCGCACCCCCAGGGCATGCCTGCTGTCCCACAGACCTTCCCTTGCAAAACACAGATCCAAAACTAAAACCGCTCCGATGCAAGACAGCAACTGTGTATCATCAAGCTGAGTTCAGGGCCCTTGCTTCTACAGGGGGCATGTACCTCTGCATGGGTACAGGCCTTTGCAGGGCATCTGGGGGTGTCAGAGGAAATCTTAATTCTTTTTTTTGAAAAAAAATTTATTTATTTTTATTTTTTTACAGGCAGAGTGGACAGTGTGAGAGAGAGACAGAGAGAAAGGTCTTCCTTTGCCGTTGGTTCACCCTCCAATGGCCACCGCGGCCAGCGTATTGCGCTGATTCGAAGGCAGGAGCCAGGTGCTTCTCCTGGTCTCCCATGGGGTGCAGGACCCAAGCACTTGGGCCATCCTCCACTGCACTCCCGGGCCACAGCAGAGAGCTGGCCTGGAAGAGGGGCAACCAGGACAGAATCCGGCGCCCTGACCGGGACTAGAACCCAGTGTGCCGGTGCCACAAGGCAGCAGATTAGCCTAGTGAGCCGCGGTGCCGGCTTTAATTCTTTTTTAAAAATTGACTTTTTAAAAGGCAGAGAGAGAGAGAGAGAGAGAGAGAGAAAGGTTGATTCTTCCCATCTGCTTGTTCACTCCTCGGTTGGCTACACAGCAGAATCTGGGCTAGGAAGTAAATCGGGAGCCCAGGAGCTCATCCTGGTCTCCCCCGTGGGTGGCAGGGATCCAAGTACTGGAACTGTCCCCTGCTGCCTCACAGGGTGGGCGTTAGTCCGAAGCCGGAACGGGAAGCAGAGCCGAGACTGAAGCCCAGGCGCTCAGATTTGGGATGTGAGCGTCTCAAGCGGCATCTTAACCACTCTGGAAGCTTGAGTCCTGCAAGGTGGAATTCTGCAGCGTAGGAGACGATGGAGATGATGGGGAGAGGGCTCACAGCTGAGGGGGTCAGCTGGGATTCAACATCCGGGGGCGGGAAACAGAAGGGAAGCAATGCTCTCTCACTCGAGGGCTCGGGCTCCTCAGTGTTCAGGCAGGAAGGGAACAGTGTTGCCATTCCTTGATCTCCAGTTTCTCTGTGGGTTCTGGGAAGAGCTGTTCCTTGGGCTGAGGAAGAAGGTCTTTGAGGGACCCTCAGAATGCATAGGATGCAGAGTAGCTGCTGTGAAGAGTGGAGGGCAGATGGCTTCAGGATGAGTCAGAGACACTCGGGGATTTATGGAGCTTGTCATCTGTCTGCTTGCATGAGACTCAGGACCCCAACAAGCAAGCGCTCCCCCTGGCCTCAGTCACAGAAGGCTGGCCCCACAGGAGGAGTTCTCTTTAGGAGAGATGGTGCTTTATTCTCAACTGAATGAAAAATGACTTGTTATTCATATTAAATGTGCTTTTTAAAAAAATGGAGAATAATGTTTGTTTTAAAAGGTTTTTACTTTGCACAATAAGATAAAATGTTGGCAATTTGATATTGCATGCCTAAAGTCTTCTTTTTCTTTAAATCTTACTGGATTTTGAAATCTGGAAACTTTATGAGTCTTAAAAGGTTCTTCCTTACTTCATATTTATTATTATGAATTCATTGGCTGAGGACAATTCAGACTTTGTCAAATCTTATATGATATGACTTAGGAATGAGCCTAGGATTACTTATGTTTTGCTGTGGTTACAATGCCTTGATAATGGTCTACGAATGGTGTTTTGTATGTTCTTGTCTATGGCATTATCAAGACTGTCTCACTCTGTGCTGTAGTGCCATGATATATCCCCTATGCACAGCTTATCTCAAAAATAGCACCATGGTTTTCTTTTTCTTTTTTCTTTTTAAGATTAATTTATTTGAAAGGCAGAGTAACAGAGAGGCACAGGCAGAGAGAGAGGCTGATCTGATGCCAGGAGCCAGGAGCTTGTTCTGGGTCTCCCACGTGGGTGCAGAGGCCCAAGCACTTGGGCCATCTTCCACTGCTTTCCCAGGCCATAGCAGAGAGCTGGATCGGAAGTGGAGCTGCTGGGACTAGAATCCGGCACCCACATGGGATGCCGGCACTGCAGGCAGTGGCTTTACCTGCTATGTCACAGCACCAGCCTCAGCACCATGGTTTTCTAAGGACCTTTTCTGTAACAGAAATATGTATGTATACATATTTATGAATGTATATATTTATATATATATATAAAGTGTCATGCTTCTACAGTAGTTCTTTTGGTCAGGGTTGTTTCAATAGGTGGTGCTAAGATTTACTAAGATTTCCCTTTTTTTACTCTGAGCCGCAGACACCAAGAATCCCACAGGAAGTTGTCGCTGTGAGTGTTGTGGTTTCTTAGTTTCCTGTTCAGTTGCATTAGATGATCAGAAGTAAGTTAACTCTGTACAACCGAGATTCTTGGTTAAACTTTAAGAATCTCCAATTTACATGCATTTTGTTTCTTCTCATGATGTGAGTTAGCTGTGACCATGTTCATATGCAAATATGAACACTGTAGTGTAACTTGAACACGTTCTGGTGTTTGATTAAACTTCTGTTAAAAGGGGTGTTTCTGACATTATGCTTTATACTTCCCACTTCCTTATCAAAGCCTCTTACCAAAAATAAACTCTTATAAGAATGGAGCTACATTTTTAATTCTTTAAAAATGCATATACTTTTACAAATGCAAAAACTTTCTCAAATATCTGTAGAAAAGGTGATACATAAAACATACTTTATATGATTTAATTTAGATGTTAAAATATCACTGAAATTTTTAAAAGGGATCGTATTATTCATTAAAATATCTATTATTGTAATTTTTTTTAAAGATTTATTTATTTGAAAGGCAGTTGCAGAGAGAGAAACAGAGAGACAGAAACAGAGACAGAGAGGTCTCCCATCTGTTGTTTCACTCTCCTAATGGCTACAATGGCCAGGGCTGGGACAGGCTGAAGCCAAGAACTCCATCCGAGTCTCCCACGTGGATGGCAGGGGCCCACATCCTTGGGCCATCTTCTGCAGGCGTAGCAGCAGGAAGCTGAATTGGGAGTGGAGCAGCCAGGACTATAATATGGGATGCCTTCTATTGTAGATGGTGGCTTAACCCGCTGTGCCACAACACTGGCTCCTAACGTAATTCTAAAGCATGGGATTCTCAAAGTGAAGTATTCTTGTGTGGATTCACTTGGTTTTAAACCACGGCAAAGGGAAACTGCGACCAGGTGTTAGAGCTGTGACGGACTGCTGTAACCCAGCATCTCCACTGTCCGGGGAGACTTGATGTGAAAGTGACAGGTGTCCTGGGACTGGAGGGCTGTCTGCAGTGTGCGGTGAGCCCCATTCTAGGCCGTTCTTGGGCAAACTGAGCCTCTTATTACGCGGTAAAGACCATGCGAAAGGTCTTCCTGGACCACCTTTCATTTCCGTTTTTTTTAATTTATTTTTATTTTATTATTATTTTTTTTTTTGAGACGCAGAGGGAGAGAAGAGGTATCAGGAGAGCATTCCCCTCTCGCGGCTCACTCTCCAAATGCCCACAGTGTTTGGGGCTGGACCAGGCTGAAGCCAGAAGCCAGGAGCTCAGTCCCAGTTTCCCAGGGTGGGGGCAGGAACCCAACTGCTTGTGCCCTCCCCACCGCCTCCCACAGCTGCAGTCAGGAGCTAGGCCCCCAGCCAGCTCCTCTGATGCGGGTCACAGGTGCCCTAACTGGTTTCTTAACTGCCAGGCTGATATTCTGCCCCCCATGACCACTTTTTTTTTTAATACTCCCTTTAGTTCTTAGAATGGCATTTGCTCATAAGACGTTGTAATCACAACTCCTCAACAAATACTTCAGTAATGCACAGAGTGACTTTAAATACAAGAACGCCTGCGACCATTTTCCCCCCGGGGCCGGGTGGGGAGAACCGGCGCTGGATTTGTAGAATGCGGTTTCCTCTCCTCGTTCAGGTAACGTTGGGTGGCAAAATGATCGCTGCTGTACTTTCTGCTCCCTTGGATAAGCGTGCACCCGGTGGCCGCCTCTTGGCCAGGTTTGCTCTTTCTACAGCTGGCGTCTGTGCTGTTCTCCACGCCTGTGGTTGCTCCCCGACGGCCGTCAGGGGGTGACCATTTGGCGGTACTAAGAATTTCCCACATCTGCGATGCTCCCACTTCGGCAAGAGGCTGCCGGGGGGCTTCTGACCCGGCCCGGGCCCGCTGTGCTGGACGCGGGGGACGGGGCTTGGCAGTGCAGGCGGCCCGAGCCGGAGCCTGCCCCTCCTCCTCGTGCGGCCGCACGGCCGGGCACGACGCTCCGCGGACATCCCCGTCCGGGCGTGGGGAGGAGGAGGAGGCATCTGGGGACCCCCTGCGGGCTGGGCCAGGGCTGCTGCTTCTCGGACCCGGGCACCACTTCCAGCTGGGGCAGTCGGCGTGGCCCAGGCCTTCCGGGAACACAGCCGGGACGCGTTCCGTCCTCCTCGCGGCGACGGCCCCAGGGAGGCCCGCCGGGTGCAGGGGGCAGCGGCCCGGGGTCCGGCGGCGCGGCCAGAGGGCTCGGCTCTGCAGCAAGTCGAGGTAGCCGCGGCCATCACAGGCAGGCTCTCGGCTCGGGGCGAATCCTGCTGGGCTGCGCACGACATTCGCCAAGCAGCGGAAACCGTTTTCCGAGTTACTTGGGAAAAGCGGCGCCCGGGGTCGCACCCGGGGCCGGGGCCCCGCCCCCGGAGCTCGCCCCGCCCCCGCCCCCGCCGCGGCCCCGCCCCCGCCGCTCGCCCCGCCCCCTCCCGGCCGGGCATGCTCAGTGGGCCGGGCCGGCAGGTTTGCGTGGCCGCTCAGAGTTGCCGGCGCTGGCTCAGCCCGCCGGCGCCGCGTCCCTTCCCGGCCTCCCGTTCCGGGGAAGTTAGGCGCGGAAGCCGGCTCCTGAGGAGACTCGGAGAGGCCCGCGGGCGCGGCGGGGGGCTCCGGGGGCTGCCGGGGGGCCGGCGCGGCCGGGCGGCCAGGGCTCCGGGCGGCCGAGCGAGTGGCCGCGCTCTGAGGGAGGCGCCGGCCGGGCGCGCCCCGCCGCGAAGACCCGGGCGGGGCGTGCGCTTCCCGGACTTTTGTCCGAGTTGAATCCCCTCCCCGTGGGCCGGGCCTTTCCGGCCGCCCCTGCCGCCGCCCCGCTCGCTCTCGGGAGATGTTTATTTGGGCTGTGGCGTGAGGAGCGCGGGCGGCGCGGAGTTTCGGGTCCGAGGAGCCTCGCGCGGCGCGGGAGAGAGACAAGATGTCCGCCAGAGTGGCGGCCGCCAAGGTGAGCGCGGCCGCCGGGGCCGGGCCGGGCCGGGCAGAGCCGGGCCGAGCGCTGCCGCCCGCCCGCCGGCGCCGGCTTACGCCCCGCCCTCCCCCGCAGGCGGGCGCCGGGGGCGGCGGGCCGGGCCGGCAGGCGGGCGCGGGGGCCGCTCGGAGCCCGCGGGCCGGGGCGCGCCGAGCCGAGCCGGGCAGGTGCATCGCTGGCGGCGCCGGGGCCGGTGCCGGGCTCGGGCGTCGGCGGGTGGGGGCGCGCAACAGGTCCCGCGCGGCTGCTCGCGGCGCCGGGTGCGGGTCTCCTGCGGCGGGGAGGTCCGGGTTTGGGGATCCACCTGCCGCGCGTCCCGGGGCAGTGCCCGGTCCCCGGCGAAACCGTGTAGTTTCGGTCTGATGTCACTCGCTGCGGTATGCGGGCGACAGCGATAAGGCACTGAGACAGCAAAACACTCAGCCCGGGAGGAGCTGGGCGGATTTTTTTTTTTTTTTTTTTTTTTTTTTTTTGCTCCTTGCTGGATTGTTTATCTAAGGTAACTTGGGGAAAATTGACCTGATAATACTCCTTAATGATTGGAGGTCAGGTTTTAGAAGTAGCACAAAGTGTCTCCACAAATAAATAGGGCGAGGAAGCCTGAAAGATCAGTGCCGACCTGTAGGGCCACGGGGAAGTGGACGCTTGCCCCGTGCACGTTGAAATGTGCCTCTTGCTCCGAAACCAACTTGTAAATTACGTTAAAAAGCTGCGATTCCCCAAAGCCAGGTCGGAATGCGCTCCCCTTTTGTGCACTGTAGACAGCGTCTCTCTCCCTGTCTCTCTCCCTGTCTCTCTCTCTGTCTCTGTCTCTCCCCATCATAAGGTAGCACTTGCTCTTCGCCCACAGGGACAGGAGGACGGAAATGGGAAGAGTAGGACTCTCCCCCTTAGAAAAATCGCTTCGCAGCCCGGGTGGGGGCCCGCAGGCCCGGCCGTGGTGTTAGGCGTCTGGTTTTCTCTCCCAAGTGTGTGTTGCTAGCACCTGGGCGCAGGTAGCACGCGGCCCTGCAGTGTCTGAACTCTGTCTCGGGACCTTGGCTTCTGCAGTTACTCTGGGTGGCAGCAGGTAGATTCCTTCAAGGATCGTGGTGTTTCTTTAAGAGAGAGCTGGACCTCCTGTTGATGAAACACAAGCTGAGGGTAGGTCCGGAGAGCTGGGCTTTGAGGGCGGCCCTTGGCTTGTTTTTGAGTTCAGTCTGTGTGATTTACCTTTTCTGGAACTTCCTCTCCCGCGAGGAGGGGGGCTCTGTTTCCGTCTCGCGCAGAATGTCTGTCACGTCGTCCTGAAGGGTGGCCCCGGCGCACAGGCCCCGCAGCACCGTGTTAGAGGCTATCTCAGCGTGGAGAGAAGTAGATTTTCTGTAGCTCGCGGTGGTGCGGTGACTTGGGAGTCCTTTTCCTCCTCAAGTGTGATGATTGAGATTTTGTGGCATTTTGACAAGCGTTACTTGTTCAATATTACGGTATAGGGGTGTTAGCATTTGTAGGCATGTACGGGTGAGATGGGAGTTGACAGCTTATTTTTAAAAATGCCGTATTTTATGGGGCCACCTCGAAATCTTTCCTAAAGCAAGGTAAGCCATCAGCACATATGTGAAAGGGAATGATGGCCAGCTGCCTAGCCGCTTTCTCGAGTGTCCTTTAAAGTCTTGAAGGATTTTCGTGTTTCCTAAGAGTCAGGTGCTGCCTTAAATGCAGAGGATGCTTTGGTTTTCCCCACCCCAGAGTTGCCAAAAAAATTTAAAGACTTTAATTTTACTGCTTGCTTTTTCGTTCTTAGTGTTTACAGTTTGTAGAACTCATGTCTAAGCCAGTGCTTCCAATTCTATATTCTTGGTGATGGTTGACTAGTTTTCCATCCCAGGAATGTGCTATACTTTAGATCAAAGTCTCCAGAGTTCGGCTGTCACCATAAGCAGCCTTATTGGCACATTTCTGTGCACCTGTATGTTACTATGTGTCAGATTCTTCAAAATGGAATTGCTAAGTCAACAGGTATGTAAATCAAACTTTTGATACACATCACTAAGTCTTTCTCCAAGAAGAGTGTACCCAGGCATCCACGTGACAGATGTTGGTGCTTGAGACTTGATGAAGGATGTGAATTCTGAATGAAATGAAACAGTATACTTTCTGGAGGAGAGTCAATATTGTAGCATTTGCCAGTCTTCCTTGAGTTGATATATAAATACAATAGTTACAAATGGAATTCTAATGTTGTACTGTAGAAAACCTGATGTATTGATAAGCAAGCGTATCTGATAAATGAATGATAGCCACGGAATATTGGGGAAAAAAGGTCCTTTCAGGAAACCTAATTTGTTATGAATGCAAGTCGTGTATCAGCTCAGGGACAGAGGAACGCAGAGTCCAGAAAGATCTGCACAGTTACGCGCTCGTTGTCCTCAGTGCTCAATGTGATTCCCGAATGGCCCTCAGTGCCCAGTCAGTTCATTTAATTCCACAGTAATCCTGTGGATCGATCCCTGTTCTCTGTTCTGTGAGGAGAAGAAATTGAACACAGAGGTAGAGTAACTTGCCTAAGTTTGTCAAGCCAGCAGGAGGAACTTTGTGAATATATGAATCAAAATAAGTGGAGATCATTGGAGAGAGAAGTGAGGTACTAAGTAAACAATACTAAGACTGTTGGCTGTCTATTTTATAAAATAATAATTTTCTGCCTCCTATGCCAAAAAATCAAAGCGAATGTTCGAAAAAGAGAAATAAGTAAAGGGAATCATAAAATACTATGAGAAAATGTTGGTTACTTTGTAAAAAAATGTACCTGCTTTGGAAAGATTTTCTTTGAGCCTAATATTAGGAAGTAATAATGGGGGAAAAAGGTTTTATATGTGATATACACCTGAATTTGCATTTAGAATTTTGTTTCGTAAGGAACTTGATATAAAATTATTTGAAAGTTGAAAACAGGAATTTTAAAGTGGTTCTCTGCCTTACCGAAGAGTGTTCAGTAGGAAATGGGGTGAATAGGAACATTTTCATTGGTTGAGTCACAGAAAGTGGCTGAAGGAAATTGAAGGGCTTCTGGGTTTTCAAGCTGTTTCACTTTGGAGGAAGCAGTAAATTTAATTTAGGGTTGTGCTTTTAGGTATGCTTATTAGATATTGCTTATTATTGCTTATTACTAGATATATATGCTTATTAGATATTTCTGCATACGTAGATGTTTTCTGTGTCTCAGGGATAGTAGTTTTTACCCCTGTAGCGCTCTCTGAAATTGTACTGTAGGTTAGTGTGAAAATTATCTCCACTGGATTTTACCATTACATCATTGATTGACACTAGTCTCAGGAATTGAATTATTTTGTCAAGTGAAGCACAGTGGTCTTTTTAAAATAGCTGAAACAAATTTCTAAAAAACCTTTTATTTTCATTTTATTTAAAATGCAGAGACAGAAGGGGACAGGGAGAAACCTTCCATCTGCTGGCTCACTCCCCAAATGGCTGCAAAGCCAGGAGTGCAGTCCAGGTCCCCCACCTGTGTGGCAGGGACCCAGGCACCCCAGCCATCTCTACAGCCTCCCAGCATGTGCCATAGCAGGACCTGAAATGTGAAGCAGCACTCCCATGTGGGACGTGGGGATACCACGTGGCACCTGATCACTGCCAAGTTCTGGCCCTGGCTGAAAATTTTTGGAAAATAGCTTAACTGTGGAAAACAGTTAAGCTAATGAACAAAGCTAATTACATGATAAGTCTTTATAGAGGATACTGTGGATACTGTTTTCTGAGTGATTGTTGCAGGGTCATTTTAATTTTGGTACTTACATCAGTACGTATGTGCTGTAACAATACTTTTTTTTTTTTTGTTCCATTGGTTGACCCCCCCAAATGGGCGCTGCGGCCAGCCGGCGCGCTGATCCGAAGCCAGGAGCCAGGTGCTTCCTCCTGGTCTCCCATGCAGGTGCAGAGCCCAAGCACTTGGGCCATCCTCCACTGCCTTCCCGGGCCACAGCAGAGAGCTGGCCTGGAAGAGGAGCAACCGGACAGAATCCGGAGCCCCAACCGGGACTAGAACCCCAGGGTGCCGGCGCCGCAGTCGGAGGATTAGCCTAGTGAGCCAGGGCGCCGGCCACAACAATGCTTTAAAAGTGAAATAACTCACTGAGAGTTCACTTCATTGTGTTTGCGACTTTGAGTGATTTTCAATATACTAATAGCTTTCTGGGCGGCTCAGTTTGTACAACACATATTTTTCACTAGGATTTATAGATTTTAGGAAAAGGGTTTCGATTTTTGCTGGTGTATTGGCATTGTCAGCACTCGTGGTTGAAACTTTATGTAGTTAGCTGATAATACTAACCACATTTTACAGTTCTTAAGCTTGTTTTAGTACAGCTTCATATGACAGTTATTTATCAAATTATACAATGCTTTTTCTCCTGGATTATATACTGGCACAGATTGCCCTGCAGTATTAGGAAAAGACCCTCTTTTCTTTTTTCTCCCTTTTCTAAAACTGTTGCTTTCATGTTAGGACCTTGCACACTAAACTTTGATGTTAAATTTAAGGAAGATTCTCCGCACCCATCGATTGGTGTCAGTGAGTTGGGGGAGGTCAGCCGTCCCCGTCAGTGGTCAGTGGTGAGGCTGAAACCCGTCTGTCTGCTGCTTCCTGTGGGTTTGAAGGAAAACGCATAGCATAGAGAAGTTTCACTGTGGTTTTGTTTTTTTTTTTTTCAATCCTGGAAACAGTGTTCTGGCTCTGACTTTACTTGCTCTTTAATCTTTTTCTATTTAGAGACCAAATATAAACTCAGTACAGTTCTAAAATATAACTGAGTATAAATAAGATAGATTACCATACTGTGAAGGAAAATGTCTTTAAAAATAATGGTTTTGATAAACGTTTTGGAAATGTGATTCTGTTTCTTGACATGTCTCTGGTATGATAATTCAGTCTACTGAAAGACCAGGAGTCCGGCTGTGTTCAGTTCCTGTGTATTGTCACC